TACCGATGTCCTTCTGTGTTTGTCCTATACAACACGATTCAGTCCACATTATTCAAAACTTGGCAGAACAATTTGTATTGTGTCTAGGATGGTTGGTATTGAAAATGAGATATATCAGTCCACGTTTTTGCATAGCCCCTATAGCCCCTCCCGATATTTGGCATTTTTATGATTTTCGCCACATTTTTTTCACGGATTTGTCTTAAAATTGGTATGTGTAGGTCATAATGGGTTTTATCTCCGGTGGCGAAATATTGTATGCATAGGCCCACTTTTTGGTATAGCCCCCATATACCGGTACCTCCCGATATTCGGTATTTTGACGATTTTTGCATTTCATCACATTTTCCCACGGATTTGTCTAAAAATTGGTATTTGTGGGTCATAGTGTGTTCTAACTCCGGTTGCGAAACATTGTATGTATAGGTCCACGTTTAGTATAGTTCCATATAACGGTACCTCCCGATATTCGGTATATTGATGATTAACATTTGTTTACGGATATGTCAATAATGTATTATTTGTAGGTCATAATGGCTTCTAGCTCCTGTGGCGAAACATTCTACAGGTCTACGTTTTTGTATAGCCCCCATATAATGGTACCTCCCGATATTCGGTATTTTTAAGGATTTTTACCACATTTTTCTATGGATTTGTCTAAAAGTTGGTATTGGTAGGTCATAGTGGGTTCTAGCTCCGGTGGCTCCGGTGTATGTATAGGTCTAAATTTTTGTATATAACGGTACCTTTCAATATTCGATATTTTGATTATTTTTACCACATTTTTTCACGGTTTTGTCAAAAAATTCGTATTTGTAGGTCATAATGGGTTCTAGCTCCGGTGGCGGAACATAGTAGATATATGTCCACGTTTTGGTATAGGTCCTTCTAATAGTATCTCCGGATATTCAGTATTTTGATGATTTTTGCTCCGGTGGCAGAACATTTAATATTTATCTTTTCCTATAGCGCACATATAACGATACCCACCGATATTCGGTATTTTGATAATCCCAGTCACATTTGCCGACGAAATTGTTTCAAAAATGGTATTTTAGAAGATTTAGTAGATACCAACCCTTGAAGTATAAAATTGTCTATAGAGGTCCCCTTACAACGACCTTATCCACTTTATGCTTTTTTTGGTTTGTAATTTAAAGTGGAACACGTTTGAATTCAGATACTTAAAAAAAATGTTTTCCATACCCAATCGTGGAGGGTATTAAAAATTCGACCTTAATATTTTTTTACTTGTTTTTCTTTTTATCGATTTTGGTTTTTTTTTTTGGTGTTTTCCGGGACCTTTAAAACTATTTTGTAGAATACTTTGGTCTAAAACTGATACACATTTTAATGAAGTTTTCCAACTTTTTCTGAAGAAGAAGACCTAAAAGACCCCTTGATTGAGGGTTAATTTGCTTTAAAAAATATTCAACAGATTATTGGGAATAATTTTGTCGAGGAAATCTAACTCGAATATTTAAAAAAAAAAATAAAATGAGCGGAACTCCCCCACCCTGCTTTGGTTACTTCCCAGTGTAAACTTTCAAAAACCCCGATAAACGTGTCTTATATTTTTAGCATTAATTTCATAATCTTCCCAATTTTCTTTGTAATTATTATTTTTTTTTTGCACAGTGTAATAAGGTTCCCTAAAAAGTATCCAAAAATTCCATTTTACCAAGTACCTTTAATATGCAATATTTTTAGAATCTCACCGTTATTTTGCAAACCTGTCTTAAATTAATTAAGAAATTAGGTGACATTTTTAACATAGCCCCCCCATAAAAGACCGGAATTCCCCAAAAAAAAATGCTTTCAAATTATAATTTTATGTTTTTAAAAGCTTTTTTGTTTTTTTTGTCGTCTGGAAATTAACATATTTACGATAGTCTGGCATTCTACGATTTAGTCAGCGGTTTTAGTGTATTAATTGAATTAATTTGCACAGTTTTATTGACAAATCACGTTTTAGCCAACTGGTTTTGAAAAATAAAAATAGCTAAAATATCATTGATTTTTTCAAGTTGCATTTTCAATACTATTTAACATATTTAGTTATTCCAAGAAAAACAAGAATAGTTTAAACCCTTATATTTTTCTTGTTTTTCTCAATCTCTCACTCTCTCTTGCGCTCTATGCAATAAAAACAAAATATTACATCAGTGAAAATGTAAATAAAAAAACAAATATTAAAAACTGAATATAAAATGTAAGACAATGGCCAGAAGATTTAATCAGTCTTGACCTTGTGATTAACTACGTCGATGTTCTTGACAGCTCTGGAAGAAGGAATGTAGGTGGAACTCTACGCCCACGTCATAAGTGCAATAATAATAATGCATTAATTAAATAAAAAATATATATTTAAAATGCTTTAACAGGTTACAAGCGAAGGGGACGCTAAATTTTGTACAATAAAAAAGAACGACTGACAGCTGATATGACGTTGAGGAAATTTCAAGGTAGAGTGAAGGTAGGCCACTGGATTATGGCTCCATAAGGATTTGGAGTCCTTAGACCCTTTCGTACGTATGAAAATAAGTTGGGATACATTTACCTAAATAATGTAAGACCACCGCATTGGGCGCCATTTCACTCAATATTATTTATCCAAATATACCACTGCCGAATAATAAACGTACCACTAAAAGCAATGGACCCACATCGAATTTTTCTATTCAAAACAATTTTAACGTTCGTTTTCGTTCCATTATAGTACATATTTCCAGAACCATCTCCATATCTTAACCACAGATACCAACAGTGACAATCATATTAAATTTGAGGATTCTAGTTCTATTCCTTTACCCAATACAAAATTTAGTACTTTTCGTAAAAATTTAAATTTAAAAAATTTCCAAAACCACTTCCATATCTCATTTCCAGATAACAACAAACACTTCAAGACCAAATTTTGAGGACCCCAGCCCTATCCCTTCTCTCAATTCCAAATTTTGTACTTTTCGTACAAATTTAAGACGAATTTCCAAACCACCGCCAAATGTCAGACACTGATACCATCGGTAATCAAAACATGAAATTTTACAATTTTATCTCTATTTCTTCATTGAATATTATAAATTGTACCATTTAGTATTTTTCGTACAATCATAGTACACATTTCCGAAAACACATACATATGCCCAGGCTACATATGTATGAACAACGAACCCAACACCAAATTGCAGATTTAAAGCACTATATGTTCACCTAATACCAAATTTAGTACCATTTGGTACTTTGCGTACAATTATAGTACACATTTCCGAAACTACCTCCATGTGTCTATGCTACGAATGAAAAGCGACCCTAAACCAAAAATCAGACTTCAAGCACTGTCAAGCACATATGTTTATCAAATACCGAATTGTAAAAACTTTAGCTCCATTTAGTAATTTAATTCTCAAACCTACCACCTAAAGCGACCCAAATATAAATTTTCAAAATTTCAGCTTCACCCATTCACCCTAAACAAAATTGTACCAAATATAGTACTATTTATCGTTTTTCGTGCACTTGTAGTACATATTTCCAAAAAGTCACCACTTTATCATAAACCTTCCACCAACGAGACCCCAACACAAAATTTCCATATTTGAGTTATATCCGTTCATCCTAAACCAAATACTTCCAAATTTAGTACCATTTAGTACAATTCGCACACTTAGTACACATTTTCAAAACTACCATCATATATTAAACTTATCATCCAAACTTGATTCTCATACCGGACATCGCTAAGTCGACATAGAATTCTATGCTGATCAAGAATATATATACTTTGTGGGGTCAAAATGTATATTTCGAAGTGTTACAAACTGACTGACAAACTTAAGATACCCTCCATACTATGGTGAAGGATATAAAAAGGTAAAATTTTAACCAAATATTTGTGTGGAGTAAGAGTCTCTAAAAATATCCTTACCTCCACAAAAAATAATAATAAATGGGAAATGTAATAATGAACACTGGTTTTTGGACAAAAAGAAAAATCGAAAATTTTTTCTGAGTAATTTTTTTGACATCAGTGGGCCCAAATTACTTTAAAAAAGTATTTCTTTCAAAAACGAAAATAAAAATTAAATCTCGGAACGAAATGGGATAATTATCGATAAAATTCGCTGAAAAATAAAATTGTTCCTTAGTCCATCATTCTGCTCAATAAATATATTATGATTTTGATTATAAATATTTCAATACAACGTCCTATAATACAATAATCCCTACACGACATACCAATAAAATTTACCATCTTCGAAGAATTATTAACATAAATCAGAAATTAAAAACCCCAGACAGGCAGCCATTAAAAAGAAGAGAATTTCCAAAAAATCCAAAGAGCATTGTCAAGGTTCAAAACACCAACACATTAAGGATTGTTTTTCTTTTGCCAAAATTCATTATTCGTCTTCTAGAGTTTATTGACTCTTTGTGATGGGAGTCATAAGACACTGTAATATTACCACATAACTTGTCTTTATTGTTGCATCTTCCTTTGATACTTTGGCGGACACAGAATGACCATGCCAAGGAAATTCTGGAGTGTGAGAATGCTTTTAATGGTGGTGATTGTGTTTTTGCGGATGTGCCAATGATTGTTCATAATTTAGAATGACTTTATTATGTGGATAAAATTTTTGACACTTATGATTTGTCATTGGGAGTTTAAGGCAAAAACATTACGAAATTTGGGAATATTTGTGGAATTGGGGTTGAAGGTGGGGCAAGTGTATTATTTTATTTTTCGAAATAAATTGATCGTTTTTTAATAACACCCACTTGCTTAGTTTATACAAAATTTTGTACATGTATTTAGATTCATAATATATAAAAATATATTATTTAATTCTCATAAATTATTTTTTTTAATATATTCAAAAAAAATATATTTTTTTTATAAATATATTCAAAATATTTTTTTATAAATATATTCCATATATATTTTGTATAATTATTTAATACTAATTCCAATCTTAAAAATCTTACTTTCCTTTCAGGTTTCTTATCATGTCGGCAAGTCTTGAATCTGCTTACCATGTTCGGCTTCATGCTGAACTATGCCCTGCGGGTAAATCTGACCATAGCCATTGTGGCAATGGTCAAGCCAGAAAATGCCACCAAAGGTGATAGCCTTGCGGGAAATCTAACAACCATTACGACTACCACAACAACGACAGTGGCGCCCAATCTGAATGCTAGTAGTAGTCCTCCACTAGATGATGAGCTAGATGATCGTTTCTCTTGGGATACGTATCAACAAAATTTCGTTTTGGGTTGTTTCTTCTGGGGTTACATCTTAACTGAGTTGCCCGGTGGCCGTTTGGCTGAATTAATTGGTGGTCGTCGTGTCTTTGGTCATTCCATGTTGTGGGCAAGTTTGTTGACTTTGATCACACCCTTGGCTGCTCATTTGAATTATGTTCTGCTGATTATTGTTCGTGTCGTCTTGGGCTTTATGTTGGGTGCCTCATGGCCAGCCATACATCCCGTTGCTGCTGTTTGGATTCCGCCAAATGAGAGATCGAAATTCATGTCCAATATGATGGGTAAATAAAAATTTATATAAAAATTTAAAATAAAAAAAATTATAATTTATTTTTTTTTAATAGCCTCTTCCCTTGGTGCTGCTATTACCATGCCTATTTGTGGTTTCCTGATTTCTGTTGCCGGCTGGTCCAGTGTTTTCTATGCAACTGGTAAGTTAAAAACAAAAATATATACGACTAGTAAGTTTCCGCTACATCATCAGGAAAAATTCCACCTTTAAGTTTTAGATTCTCAAAATGCACAATTTGCTCAGTTTGACAGTTTATTTAATAAAAACTTCATAAAACGTACTAAATTTTCAGATTATCAAGGATTTATTTATTTAAGTTTTTCCTTCTTCGGAAGAAAATAATTGGAGAATTATTATCTTTTACGCCAAAAAGTGTAAAAGTTTAAAATCTTCAATTTAGAAGTTAACCGAGGAGGTTAATAGTAAAACCATAGCTCAAAGTTTCCCTAGAAACCAGCAGCGACCTCCATAACAAATTTCAAAATTCCATCTCTATCACAACACCCAACGGCATATTTTGTGGTATTTTGCACTTTTCGTACATTCATAGTACAAATCATCCGAAATTATCTCAACCACATACACCAACAGTGACATCCATATCAAATTTCAGGATTTCAGCCCTTTTCCTTTACTCTACTAAATTTAGTACTTTTCGAACAATTATATAGCACAAATTTCTAAAACCACCTCCATATCTCAATTCCATATACCAACAGAGTCCCCAATATCAAATTTGAAAATTCCAGCCCTATCCCTTAACAATACCATATATAGTACCACATAGTACTTTTCGTACAATTATGACACACATTTCCAAAACCATATTCATATGTCCAACCTACACATGAACAGCGACTCTAATACCAAACTTCAGAATTCAAGTACTATCTGTTCACCCAATATTAAATTATACCAAATATAGTACTATTCAGTACTTTTCGTGCACTTGTAGTACACATTTCTAAAACCACGTTTCCATTAGAAACCTATCAGGTACACATTTCCAAAACCAACATCCTATATCAAATTTTATTTTCCAACCTTTACTACGAATACATATATCCTGCACTCCATCAGTGACTCTAATTTCAAATTGTTACTCACTCCGTTTGCCAAATACAGTTACTTTTTTGTTACCCTTTAGCACCTTTCGTACTCTTTTAGTACGAAGACGTACCAAGACTGACCCTCGTGCAAAATTGCAAGATTCTAGCTTTAGCGTTTCGTCTGGGCGTTGATTCTAAGTCTATCTAAGTTATTTAGTTAAAAAATAAAAACAGGTAAAAATTACGCTAAGTTTGGCGGGTGGATCTTTATATTTCCTCCTGGAATAACTTTAATATTAAACAAATCTGGTTGAAATTCCCAACAATTTGGGGTTTTAATTTTTTAGAACTCATAAAAATTTTTATATTTTATTTGAGGAAGGATCCTCAAAATTGCAAGAACTGGGTCCAAACGTTATATGGGGATTACTCTTAGACCTATACCTACATGGATACAAGGATGTTTCCAACCTATTAACATTTATAAAATCAAATAACAGCCCCTTCGGCAAGGCAAAGGAAAAGTCCGCTGTATTTAATCAACTGACGTCAATTATATTTGTATCAATCAATATTAGTCAAATAAAACACAGGTCAATAATTTAAATATGAAAGGAAACCAAGCTTCTTGGCACAAAAAACAATTTAAAATGTTTACACACGTTTTTATATTTTTGGCTGAAATTTTCAAATATAGCAACTGCACACATGGAATATTTTTGCGGAAGTTTCCCCAAATAATTATAGATTTTAATAAAACAGCTGTCCAAAAGTTATAGTGTGCAAAAATATGGGGTGATTATTATGACTAATACAAAAAATACACATGTTATGATAAGTAAGATTCAAAGACAAATAAACACCTTACTCAACACAACTTTCTATAATTTTGTTCATAACTATATTTTAATCACGAGACGTGTAGCAATTTACCCCAAAATATTTCACTATGTGTCTCGACTGAACTAACTACTCTATGCAAAGCTACAAAATATAGGCCAAGAAAAAAATTGTGTCGATTATGTTCTTTGTTCGGCTATTTTTAGTTCGAATTGGGTACACGCTGCCGAGAATCTTTCATTTTTGTCTTTAACAGAAATGTCCACTTTTCCATCTATTGAATTTCCGCAATCATTTACAATCGATTTTCGATTTCAAACTTTCCAATCTCAAGATGACTAAAATCGAGTTTAGATTTTTGATTTGCCGTATTACCATTAAAAATTTAATTGATGTTGGCTTTGGTGACCCTTTTTTATGGAGTCCATAGTATAAAGACGTTTAAAGTTGCATACTATTAGGCTAGTATAAAAATGGAAAAAGGAACGAAAATCTTAAATTGAAACTCGATTACAGAAAGTCGACTATTAGTTTTGAAACGTTGTGGACTTCTGCGCTTAGGTTTTTTTCAATTCCAACAGCGGTTATAGTAGGGGACACATTCCTATCCATTTTACTCCTTTTTTTACCCAAAGAAACATTTGCTTGCTGTATAACCGACATTTAACTTCCTTCTTATTTTGGCCAAAATCACCTTGATAGGTGAGAAGTTCTCAAAATTTTTTAAAATTCTTTTAAAAGTCAAAATTGAGAAATTAAACGATAACAACTTTATCCAATACCTCCCCCACAAACGGTCAAAATTTTGAATAATAACTGTTATAAACTGTGAAATAAGAGTCCAATTATCTTCAAATTTCACACCAACACAAGATTTTGTATGAACAATAGAAGGAACCGACCACTCTTTCAGGTACATCCCCGAAACGGACCAAAATTTGATATAAAAAACACCAATCAAATGCGAAATAAGCATCAGACTCTCTTCAAATTTTACCCCTTCTAATATTTCTGCTAACAAAACATCTGGTGTAAACAACAGATATAACGGCCCACTCCTCCTCACCCACAGAGGGTCAATATTTTGAATAACTAAAACGGTCATAAAATACCCGATTCTCTTCAAAACGGTTAAGGTTAAGTCAAAATGTATTTTTATAGGTTCATCACCCCACTATATCTCTTTGGGACAGCTGTTGATAAAAATCAATAATTATTTGTGGAAACTTCCGCAAAAATATAGTTATATTTCATCATTTGAGTGAAGAAACGAAACGTGTGTAAACACTTTCAGTTGTTAATTTAATTTGTATATTTAGTTGTGTTTGTTTGACAATAAACGTGGTTTCGTTTAATATTTAAATTAATTAAATTCTTGTTTGTTTGACTAATATTAATTAATGCAAATATATTTTCTATCAGGTGATAAAAATGAGCGGACTTGTCCTTCACTTTTCCCTTTTGTTTATTTGAATTTAAATTATTGTTAAGCAATAATTTGATATAGTAAGGAATTGATTATAGTTTATTGACCTATTGGTAGAATAACATTGGAATGTTGGAAGAATAACATTGGGACTACGATCAGTATCTATTTTTTTATTATTTAGAATTAACTCTGCTCTGGACTTGCATTTTCAGGTCAACGGACAACTAAATTTTAGAGTACCTATTTATATTCTCAGAATTTACATTTTTTATAATCTCAAAATTTTTGTTGAAAATGATAACCTAAAAAAATTGGTTCAGTTGACACATATGAAATCCACTTAATTATTTTAGGAAACTTCCATGTGTAGTTACAATATTTGAATATTTAAGGAAAATATAGAAATGAGTGTAAACATTTCAATTGTTTATTTAATTAATATCAAGATGGGGTGATTTCTTATAATATTTAAATAAATTAAATTGTAATTTATTTATTTTTGACAAATATTAAGTGATACAAATACATTTCTCGTCAGATGATAATTGTTTTTAAGTAAGGAATTGATTATAGTTTATTGACCCATTGGAAAATATATTGGAATTAGAACGAATTTCTGGGAACAGCATCATTTTATGTAATAATGTAATGTAAAAAGAAAATGTGTGGAAAAAGCCCACCGGTAAGGAAATATGAAATAATTGTTCTAAGCTTTCTTCTTCCTACATTTTTTCATCATTTAGCTCAATTTCGGTTTTTAATGTCTAAAAATCTTTAATTTTGAAAACACCTGCACCGAGATTTTATCTTGCTATTGCTTTAAAACGTACCCTTTCAGTTTTTCCAGTTTCTCATATTTTTCTTTTTATTTCAGGTGCCGTTGGTCTCATCTGGTCCGTTTTGTGGTTCACCTTGGTCTATGAGACACCCGCCACCCATCCACGTATTACACCCGAGGAAAGACGCGAAATTGAAGAAGCCATCGGCACATCAACATCCAAAAAGCGACCCAGCTATGTACCATGGGGTGATTTGTTCTGTTCTCCTGCCGTGTGGGCCATTATCATTACACATGGCTTGTCGGTATTTGGTTTCTTCACTGTCATCAATCAATTGCCCACATTTATGAATCAGGTTTTAGGTTTCGATATTAAACAGGTAAAATTAATTGATACTACAAAACAATCCAAATTAAATCAATTAATAATTGTTTTATTGTATTATTTTAGAATGGTCTCTTCTCATCGTTGCCATATTTGGGCAAGTACATTATGGCCTTCAGTTCTTCATGTTTTGCCGATTATTTGCGTCAAAAGAAAGTTTTGAGCACAACAGCAACAAGGAAAGCATTCACAACGTTTGGTAAGTTTTAATTATTAGAATTTTTATTACTTAAGCTATGAGTTGTAAAAGTTTTGTCTATAAGCTCCCGGTTTGGGTTTAACCGGACCCCTAAACTGAGAAACGTTTCTTGTAAAAGTTGAATTATGTTGTGTTTTTTAACATTAGTCACGTGGCTATAACGGCCAAAACATGCCACATTTAAAAAGAGGCTGTTGGAACCTAGTGTTTTTTTGAGCGAAATATGTTTCACAAAGGGTTACAACATTAAATAATCATAACTTCATTCCAATATTTATATCAACTCTGGATCTGGTATGAAGATACGACAGAACGGACAACTGCTGCTGGTATTTCTTAAATTGTTATTGCCTTCTTATAGCAGGTTATTGCTCAGTGAATAGGACGAGCAACGTATCAAATTGAAATAAAGTTTTTATTGGCAGTATATGTTTGGACGGAACACGTTGCGGTCTGTCATCACGATCCAGCTCATGTTAGTCCATTAATGGTGTGATAGATTTTCTTCAAACTTTTCCAAGATCAATATTTTGCAACGTTAGTATCTATAGTGAACTATATCTCCCACTCCTTGTAAATTCTTTAAAAAATCGACGCCTACGGCTTTTCGGCCTTGGAAAAAAATTCTTAAAAAAAATGTACGCCTACGGCTTTAAAGGCCTTAGAAAAAAATTCTTTAAAAAAAGGCCTTAGAAATATTTAAAAAATCGACGCCTACGGCTTTGAAGGCCTTGGAATAAAATTCTTTAAAAAAATAACAGCTTACGGCTTTGAGGGCCTTGGAAGAAAATTCTTTAAAAAAAAACAGACTACGACTTTGAAGGCCTTAGAAGGAAATTCTTTAAAAAAATCGACGCCTACGGCTTTGAAGGTCTTGGAAAAAAAATCTTTAAAAAATCGACGCCTACGGCATTGAAGGTCTTGGAAAAAAATTCATTAAAAAAATCCACGCCTATGGCTTTTCGGCCTTGGAAAAACATTCTTTAAAAAATCCACGACTACGGCCGTCCGGCCTTAGAAAAAATCTTCTTTAAAAAAATCCACGCCTACGGCTTTTCGGCCTTGGAAAATATCCACGTTTATGGCTCTGAAGGAGTTGGAAAAAATTCTTTAAAAATAATCCACGTTTACAGCTGAAAATATCGTAATATTCCATTCGGTAAATATTGAAAAATGAGCTCGGGGTAAAGCCATTGGAATTCCAAAAGGTGCAAGATATTACACCGCAACAGAAAGAAAATAGACTCCAAAGAGCTAAAGAGGAGCTTCGCTTGGCCGAAAGTGGTGAACTGCCGAATTTGGTTCTCTCCGATGAGAAAACATTCGTTGTCCAGCAGTTTGTAAACAAACAAAATGATCGTTTTGAGTTCAGCTGAAAATGTGCATCTTCGCTTGGCCACCAGAACTCAAGCGCAGGCCATGGTGATGGTGTGGGCCGCCATAACAGCAGATAGTCGCTCTCCGCGAGTATTAATCGACTGTGGCATCAGAATAAATGCCGAATATTATCGCGAAAAAATTCTGGAGGGTGTATTAAAGCCTTGGGCACGAAAACATTTTGGCCGCAGACCTTGGACATTCCAACAGAACTCAGCCTCATCGCACTCAGCACGCGCCACCCAAGAATGGCTACAACGTGAGGTTCCTCGCTTCATTTCCAACGCACAATGGCCACCAAAATCTCCGGATACCAATCGGTTGGACTATTGTGTCTGGAGTATTTTGAAAAGCAAGGTTGGTGCTAAAAAAATACTAAAGTGTCGATCACCTCAAACAAGCGCTTCGCTGGGTATGGCCCAAAATACTTCAGAGCAACATTCGGATAGCGTTTGACAGTTTCATTTGGCCGTTTGAAGGCCATAATTCGTGCCAAAGGTGACCAATTCTAACAAATCTAAACTTATTCTAAAATTTGATGCCATTTTCGACATTTTTGCTTCCATTCAATAAAATTTAAAATAAATGTAAAAACTATGGCGTTGGACTTTGTTGCAGATTTTTATCTCACTCTGTATACCCCAGCCTGAATGATGACACTTCTTCTTCAGGTCCCAAACATTTTCCCGACTCTCCACATTAAACATATTTTCGCCAAAAAACCTTCCAAAAATGTCACATTATTTTTAATTTTGTTGAAATTTTTTCTCTTTTTAGCTCTCACCACTCCCGGTCTGTTGATGATTGCCCAGGTCTTTTTGGGTACTGAGGCAGCATGGTCGGTGACAATTTTCACATTGGCTCTGTTTGCTCATGGTGCTGTGACGCCCGGTTATTTGGGTAATGGTTTGGATATTGCACCCAACTTCAGTGGTACCATTTTTGGTTTGGCCAATACCTTATCCTCCTTTGGTGGTTTCCTGTCCACATGGATGGTTGGCGCTCTGACCTATGAAGATGTAAGACAAAAATATTCCTCTATTCTAGAAATAGAACAAAAACAAAAAATTCATTTTATTATCCATTTTAGAAATGCTATCATCAATGGCAAATTGTGTTTTGGATCTTGGCCATTACCTATATCTCGGGTGCTGTGGTTTATCTAATTCTGGGCACTGGCGAATTACAACCTTGGAATAATCCACCAGAACGCAAAAAAGTTTCAGATGTGCACAACGAGGAGGGTGTACCACTGAAAAATTAATTAAACCCTACAACAGTACCGTGAATACAAATTAGTGATAAGTTTCATTTTTTTTGTCATATTGAGAGCGTGTATTTTTTCTTTGTTCTTTGCCATTTTCTTTTAATTTCTTATGTATTATACATCAAACAAACAAATTAATTATAGTTTAACAAAGTTTTAGATGGTATGGAGTAAGTGAACATAGTAATTCATGCAGGGTGCTCTATTCTAATGAAACAATTAAACAAAAATATGTGTATACTATAGTTAATTAATGTATGTATGTGTATGTATTTATTAGCCACAATTATTGCTACTATATTATGTATATGTACTGTGCTGTTTAAGTTTTAAGGGTTCAAAATTGTTTGAATTCAATGAATCTACTTTTGTAAAAGAAAAGTATAACCTTGGTGGGAAATAATCTTCAATGTATTTTGTAAAGTTAATTTGCATTTGATTTGATTGATTTACGTGGTTGGAATAATTTTGATAAGGTCGGATTTCATTAAGTATGAGGGCTCGATATTGGAGAAGAACTCAAGGCCAGTTCATGTATGTGGAAAAAAAGAAATGCGAAAAAAGTCCTTTTTATGAGTGGTTTTAACATTTATTTTATATTTATTCAATTAAAAAAATCAAAAATTAAAACAAACACCTATCGATTTTTTTTTTCAATTAAATTTTATTTTTTTTATATTAATTTGATTGAAATCAACACGTAAATAATTGGTTTTCTTATTTATTTCGACGTACATCAACAATTTCTAAATAGATTTTGCCCCATTTCTAGAATTTTCTTCGATCGACCTGCATTTAAAGTTATTCCAATTTAATATGAACTTTGAATTTATTTCCTATCCTTATATTATGCACAGTACAATAATTATTTTCTTATATAAACAAATTAATTCATATTCATAGTAAATATTAAAAAAAATCTCTGTCTTTCGAGAAATCCCACCTTAGAAAATATGCAAAATGTTAATAAAATTCCCAAACTTGCCCAAAACTTTTTTAGATTTTACAAATAATTAAAGAAAAATAATTTACACATTAATAGAAAGACATTATTATTTTTTAGTTAGAATTATTTTATAATATACATTTTTCTTAATTTTCCAAATATTATTTTTCACATATTTTAAGGCTTCCGAAATTTAATATTTTTATATACAAAACAGAACATGTTTTTATTTAAGGGGAATTAATATAACCCAGGTATATTTTTGTGGTATATGCATGAGTTAAAATAACATTGTTCTTATAAGAAATAATTTGTCAATTCAGGAGATTCAATTATTGGATAATTTATAGAAATTATTTAGTAAAGAAAATTCTTATGATATACTCCAAAATGTTTCGGATTTTATACAAATAGCTTAATTAGAACACAAATTCATCTGTTTATAACGAGATTTCAAAAAAATAAAAATAATAATAATAAAAAAAAATAATAATTTAATAAATTAATTTATTTATAACCAATTCGAAATATTTTGTGCAGCCCTTACAATTTATTTTACAAAAATAAAAAAAACGAAAGTAGCTTATTTTAACTCATACCTTTTTAAATATACCTTGGATGGAACTTGAATATTGAAAATAATTTGTAATTTTCTAAATATTTTTATTTAACAGTACGTTTATATATATAAGGGTTAACCCTCTGGGTTTGGATTTAAATTGTCATATCCATTACTTTTATGTCAAGTAAATCCTCTCAAAGTAGGTTAACCCTACAAAAAGTTCTAACGTAAACATTTCATAAAAATTTGCCAAAAAGTGGGTTTATATGTCTTGTCAAACAGCAAATTGAAGGAAAATTAAAAAAAATAAATATCAATATCTTTGGTCAAATAGGAAATTTAATGCCAATTTAAAATTTGTTATTTTTTTCATAACCCCACTTTTATTTTATTCTAGTTCCGCTTATTTTTCCCCTTTCCCCCAGCCAAAAGGGATATTATCATTATCATTTTTTATTTTACAGTATTGAAACATATTTATTTTGTTTTAATAGCTGTTTTTCTGTTTTACAATATAAAAAAATGTTTTAATATAAAATCTTACATTTTCATATATAAGATAATTACAATTTTAATAAAAAAAATATTTTTTTGTGTGTATACGTTTAATTTTGTAATATGTTTTAAATAAGCATCACTTAGTTTTTGTAAGATATGTGAAATAGAGTAATAGATACAAATAGCTCTGTTGTAATGCTAAATTAAAATTAATAAAAATTATTTTAAATAAAAAAAATATTGCAAATTGACATAAAAAATAATGAAAAAGAGATAGACTAGCTTGAAAGTGCTGTCATTTGGTATTTGGTGAAAATAAAAAAAAAAAATAAGAAAAAAAGTCATAGACTAGATTTAAAGCAAGTCTTCGAGATTTTTAAATTATAACATATTTTGTTAAAAACAAGTAAAAAGTTGAAACTTCGGCCGGACCGGCCATTTGGAAAGAATTTGGTAATTTCAAAAAAAAAAAAAAAAAAAAAAAAAAAAATCCGTTAAAATATGAAAAATATCGAATGTAGCCATTATATTAGTGTCTATACGACGACGTGGACCTGCTTAGGCAACTTTAGTCATAAGCCATTTCAATACTCAAATGCGAAACTTGAAAAAAGTCGGTGAATAATGTAGTTAAAATGATCAAAATACGGAATAATAGGTTGGTACCATGGGGTCTACACCAAAACGTGGACCTGCACAGACAATTTTCCGTCATAGGCTGTAGTATCCATTACGAACTTCATATACGAAATTTGAAATAATTCCGCTGAATAATGCGCTAAAATCATCAAAATACGGAATATCGGGAGGTGCCGTTAGATGGGGGCTATGCGAAGGCGTGAACCAACACGGATAATTTTCTGTCTTAGGCTGTAGTATCCGTTACGAACTTCATATACCAAATTTGAAATAATTCCGCTGAATATTGTCGCTAAAATCATCAAAATACCGAATATCCGGAGGTGCCGTTATATGAGGGCTATGCAAAGGCGTGATCCAGCACGGATAATTTTCTGACATAAGCTGTAGTATCCATTATGAACTTCAAATACCAAATTTTAAACAATTCCGGTGAATAATGTCGCTAAAACTATCAAAATACCGAATATCGGGATATACATTTATATGGGGGCTATACGAAGACGTGGACCTGCACGGACAATGTTCTGTAATAGGCTGTGGTATCTATTAAGAACTTCAAATACCAAATTTAAAATATTTCCGGTGAATAATGTCGCTAAAATCATAAAAATACTGAAAATCGGGAGGTACATTTATATGGGGGCTATACCAAAACGGGGACCTGCATGGCCCATTTTCAATACCTGCGGACATAATATACATTTGAGCTAAATTTTATCAACATACTTCATTTCGTTCGGAAGCTGGAGTGATTTCCACAGGCGGACGGACATCGTTAAATCGACATAGAATTTTATGCTGATCAAGAATATATGTACTTTGTGGTTTCTAAAATGGTATACCACCCATACTATGGCGGAGGGTATTAAAAGTTGTTATTAGATCTGTAAAATTTGCATATATGTCAGAATATCATCCTACATTAAATACATTTTGCAAGGATATTTTTCTACTTTTAAGATTTCAAAATACCAAATTACACCACTTCGGCTGGGATATGTGACCTGTTTTCGAAAAGTGAAATTTTATTAAAAGTACTAAAATACGCTTGAAGAGGTCGCTTGAAAATAGAGGTTGAAACCATCAAAATATCAAGCTGGATGTTCATATCAAATGCGGTGATTTGACGCCACCAGTCAGGAATGTATGTACTTAATGGGGCCTGCGGTGAATATTTGGATATCTTCTATTTAATAACATTTGGAGGCTCATCATTTTCAGAATTATAGAATTGTTATTACATCAACAAAGCCAAGAAAGGATTCCGAAAGACAAAGATTCGGAATGTTTTTCAATCGCCGTTTTGGAAACGGTCCCATAATTACTCAGAGATGAAAAAAAATCGTAGAAACCGATCATTTTCCCAGTCCCCTGATACTGATGAAAAAGTCATCAGCTGCTGCTTCTGGCCAGAGCTTATTCTTTTTTAATTTAATTAATTTGTTAATTTTAATTAGTATTTTTTATTAAAATTATTTCAATAAATATAAAGTAAAAAAAAGTATATTAAAGTTTGTATTTATTTAAAATGAAGAAAGTAGAGAGAATTAGGGTGGGTAAGTATTTCGAAGGACATATACGAGGTAAATTAGTTGATGACGTCACGGTTAAGTTGAAAAATGGTTTTCTTGAAATATACGAAAATACCAGGCGCCCAGAATTCAACAGCAGGGCTATTTGTCAAAATGAAAAATGTGAAATAATTTTTTGGTCTGGCAACACCATACAATCGAAATTTAATTTGCGCCTGAAAGTATGCTTTGGATTTTGACAATTATGTTTGGGGAATTGCCAGATCAAAATACAGAAATGACAATACCGTAAAATACGAAAAAATAAAATGCGCCTGAATTTTGATTTTTTAAACACGGAGTTGCCAGACCAAATTTTTTAATTGTTTTTTTTAAAGCTACTTGCTATTTGATTCTGGGCTCCTGGTATTTTAGGGAAATTTGAACAAAATCGGGTTTTGGTTTACGGTGACGTCATGAACCCAGACAAAATGGTTTCAAATTGTTTGAACAGACTCACCTTTGCCATTTTCACATATTATCGCAAATCAAACACACATTTTTGTAATTTCTTTATTTTTTTATTTTTATTTAAAAATTTGTATAAATAATATAAAAAACAATTATAATCATAGGTAGACAATAATTGTTCGAGTGTGTGATTAAGATTAGGAAATTTATTCTCTTTGGACCAAACGTCCTTGAAAATCCAATAGTTTTAAATTGAACTGCCGATTCTTTCAATTGACTTGGGGCTGGATTTTTGTTCTATTTTATTTTCTTTATTTAAGTTTTTATTGCACATTGAGGTCCTGGCCTGGACGAATCAAGATTTTGTTTTATCACAAATTTGAGTCAATAAAATAGGTTCAAATAACTGGTGTCCACTTGACTGACAGTTAAAGATTTCTGGACCCTATATTGTACTGTCTGAAAAAAAGGAAAAAAAATCTGATTACTTATTGCTTGGCTATAAATATTACCACACCGGAATGTGAATCGATTTTGGCCATGTAAAAAAAAAAGAATTTCCGAACTCTACCTCAATTATTTTATTACAATAGATAATTTATGCTGGTCATGAATATATGTACTTTATGGAGTCTACAATTGTTATTTCGATGATTTCTGAGCTCATATACATTCTACACTGTGCTTCAAAAAATTGTTCAAAATAAAAATCGGAATTAATTATGCTAGTGATTTTAAGAACGAAATTAGTTAAGCAAAAAATGCCGAGACGTATTTGTATTATTTTTATACCCTCCACCATACATAGTATGGAGAGTATATTAAGTTCGTCATTCCGTTCGGAACTCATCGAAATAATAATTTTAGACATAACAAGGTATATATGTTCTTGATCAGCATGAAATTCTAAGACCATTTAGCTCTGTCCGTCTGTTGTAAACACACTAGAGTCAAAACGAATAAAGATAGGAAGCTAAAATTTTGCACAGATCAGTTTATTGTCTGCATGTAGGTCAAATTCGAAGATGGGCTACATCGGTCCGCAATATCTTATAGCCCCCATATAACGGCCCCTATATTCAGTATTTCAATGATTTAAAAAATTTCAATTAAATTGTCTGAAAATCCATGAAAAGAAGTTTCTTCTGAGACTTTACCCCCTGGAAAAGTATTGTCAATATAGGTCCACGATATCGTTTTGATGATATTAGCTAAATATTTCAACAGAATTATTTAAAAATCCTTATTAGAAGTTCTTTCTAAGCACTTTACCCCCTGAAAGAGAAATGTCCATATAGGTTCACGATATCCCATATATAACGGTACCTCACGATATTCGATGTTTTTACTATTTTAGGAATTACATAAAATTCGTAATGGGCACTACAGCCTGTGACAAAAAATTGTGTATGCAGGTCCTGGTCTTCGTATAGCTCCGAAATAACGATACATCTCTATATTTGGTATTTTTTATTTCCAAAATTATTATTTAAATTTCCAAATTTGTTCCAAATGGTGGAGGGTATTCAAAGTCCGCCCTAGCCGAACTTACTACTTTTTTACTTGTTTTTATTTATTATCCCATAAAACCATTTTGGCGACATCTAGAGATGAATAGTATATCAACATTTGAGCATACAATTTCTCATGTTAGTTGAGTCACCCTATTCTTGGTAATTTCAAGAATTACCCTGTGCCAGTAGTGGTTGAAGAATTAACTATAAGAGAGAACAGTTTGAAAATCTTTCAATTAAGTGACAAACTAACCTGTGCTTTTAAAACAGTAAAATCACAGGGCGATTCTCCAAGGTGATAGGGTAATTCAAATAAATTGATGGATACACAGTTAGTTTCTTTCTTGAATCGTCTTTAGTAAAGACAAAATCCATAAAGATTAAAATTTTCATTTCATTTCGGTGGGTAATTAATTTGTTCTTCCTATTTTTATTACATACAAACAAATGAAACACCTATATATATGGGGGAGGTTCCGAAGCAGTTGGCCAATTCCAAATCTGATTTAAATATTACAACGTGCCTAATACCTATACTTTATGTGGAGATATGCTTGAGGTATCAGATATAACGGATCGAAATATTCAACTTCATCTAATTCAGATAAGAACATTGGTAGGTGCAAAATTTAAAGGAAATCGAACATTTATATCCAATTTTATACGAAATCATAAATTCGAATAAATTTTTATTCATATCAGATTTCTGCCTAAGGGAAATATTTATATATAGCAAGTTGTATATAATCGCCGATTTGTTTCGAAATTATAAGAGATATAAGTATTAGAAATTGTGACATTTTGTGGTTGAGGTACCAGAACGGGATGGCGGCAGATATGTATCATCTTCACAAGAGATTTTGTGTTAACAAAAATGTTAGGTTGTGTGAAATTTAAAGAGATTTTTGTTTTTATTGAGATTTAACAAGTCTGAATGGAATCGGATGTTAATTTTGCGTTTTATCAGCTTCATGGATATACCCCATCATCATAGCGGATCTTGTGTTAGTAGAAATAATGAGATGTGTGAAATATAAAGAGAACCTGATGCTTATTTCGGATTTTATAAACGTTTTGGTTATTTAAAACATTGCCCCTTT